GCGATTTTGGTGACCAATTAACATCTCCCCTTCGAGAAATAATTTGATTGTCAAACTTCTGTTTGAAAATGTCGATTGTTTCCATCTTTGTGTAATATGTTGCACTATCCTGTTAAAACCACAAATTTTGCACATTAATACACTCCAGTTCATCCCAAAAAAGGTATTAATCATCGTTGGATATCGAGCACCATTCACACTAACAACTTTCCGAGCTTCATTTTCGAAGAAGTATGGACAAATCAGTCCATCAGTCCTAAAATCACACCAAACAGTTACTTTTTGTGAGTTTAGTTCCAATATTACTCTTTAGTTTCCTCCACCCCAGATACGACAATTTTGCTTGTTTACTTATCCACCAATTTGTAAATGAGTTTCGTCACTAAAGATAATTTTGTTAAAACAATCATCTTCTTTCACTGCAAGAACCCAATTAACAAATGTACGACATAATCCATGATCAGTTGACAATAATACTTGTATTAACTGTATTTTGTAAGCCTTTAAGTGAAGATCCTTATACAAAATATTGAATAAAGTGATTTGTTTAATGCCTAATTGCTGTGAATAAAGACGAATTTATATATTTGGTTCTGAAGTGACAGCTGCAATATATTCTTGTGAACGACCACTACGACGGTATTTTACTTTGATCTTAAATTGTACCAGTTTATTCAAATTTATTCAGAGTAATTCGAATGGTGCTATTTGTTGAACAATTTGTATTTCCAATTTTATACGATATTTTCTTCCGCATAACTTTCACTAATTTAAAATATTTTTTTAACAATTAAGTCGTTTTGTTCAATCATATACTTCTTCATATTTATTAACCGCCATCTTTCTAATTAACAGCTGTCAAAAAAACAAAACCATTCTATTATAAAAACACACATGGCCGTAAATTTAAAAAGTAAACTCAAATTTGAACACCCTCTATCCGTCAAAATATTTAAAATTAAAAAAATGTAGTTAAATATACTTTCAAAAAAGAGACATATATCTTAGTACGCCACTGAAGCCTAAACCATAATATTAGTAGGTGTTTTTATTAGGTTTGCATTGCTTGTTGTTTCTAACCGTGGTCGAGAAATACATTATTCGTACTTACATTCAATATTCAGGCAATTACCAACGGATGAAAAGTTTGTATTATTTGGCAAATATACAGGGTAGGAAAGTACCGATGGTCTATCTGAAGTTACGTGAGAGCGATAAAGTAAGCCATAGAAATCCATTCGATAGAGAAGGATGGCTATAATGAAGGCGTCTCATAGTCACCGCCCGTTTCGCCCTTCCACAAATAAGATCCACTTCTTATTAAATAACTCTAATTCATCTTATGTGTGTGTATCCATATCGAATGAAGTAACATGCGATATATATTATCGTATTATCGTAAACACTTATTAAGAATTAGCAGGTACAATGAATCAGTGCCTACTAGCATTGTTTAAATATTGTAATTTGGGTGACAAGAAAATGTAGACATTTAAAAAATATTTTTTGTACCCAAACCGCTCGTTTAATCAAAATTAAAAGAGGCCCAAATACTTCCAAGTAGTATCACCTGTCAAATAAAAAATTGTTGTCATTATTGTCCGAAAGAGGAAAAAGTTATGAACGGATATTATCACTATACATCAATTTTGTAGGAGTTGTAAGTTTAAAAAAAGGTGTAGATTAAAAGCAAAAGTCCGCACCCCAAAAATGATCAAAATCGATTAATACGTATTCGAGTTATTTAAAAAATTCCAAAAATTTTCACTAACGAAGCGATTTCAGACAGGTGAATTAGGCTAAATCGGCTTATTTTGAGTCCTTGAATCAATGGTCTTCCGTTGTATACGTTATTCTGGGACACCCTGTATATATAGACTGATTGAGATATTGTTCATTTTAGTTAAGTGTGCAGCGAAAGGGCTTTGTCAAATCGATCTAACTCTGTTCACAAATCGTATTCCTAGAGAGCTGTAGCAGTAAACCTTCATATATGCTCTTTTACTACTCAATATCCGACATTCTCAAAACTTTTTTATTATGTTTATTATAAGATTTTTTTTGCTTAAACTGAAATTAAGTTTTCCAATACCTTCAGTTTGGCAAATTAGCACTGGGCTATTACATATAATATAAAAAGATCGACTGGTTATATCGTTTGCTTTGAGGATACTCATTTTAAGTGCATTTAATTTTTATGTGGGTCATAAGACACGATATTCTAAGAACAAGTTAGCCACATTAATTATAGTTATACAGTTGCAATATCGTTCATGTCAAGAAAACTTTATTGATTTGTTGTTATTAGAGATATACCAAATAATTCATTCTCATTTGTATGAGAACATTCTATTCTAAAAGCTATGCGTATCTATTAATAAAGATACTTCTTTAAATATATTTTTTTACAAAAAATTGGATTTCTTTGAAATATAGTTGTAAATTGTATAAGATTTAAATTGAAAATTGCTAATTTGATACATGCATTAAATTAAAATAATGTATTTCGACTTCTAAACCAATAAATACATATATTTTATTAATAGCTCTCACATCTTTTTACTCTTTATTAAGGTATTAAACTAATTCAAACAAATCTTATCAATTTAATCTTTGATATGATTTGTTTGAATTAGCTTATTTAGATTATTTTATTTGAAACATATTTTAATTGTTCGTTTAATTAGCAGTATGCTACCAACAAATTCAAGATGTAACGAAATAACTTTGAGCAATTAGTAAATAGCAATATTTTGAAAAATCAATTAAATAAGTCAATTACAGTTTCGGGACACATTTTAACGGAAAGCTGATGAGTCGAGTCTGGTCCCCCTTTAGATGGCAAGACGGGTTAAATCCTATTTTAAAGCTCCTTTGGATTGTCTACATGCCTATATTTTGTTTGATTAATTTTTTGCTCTATGGTTGAAAAGAGAAATAAGAAAAAGGATTTTGTAATATTGAAAGTACCTATCGTTCAAAATGACCACCATCGTATTTTATAGACGAGTTAAATCTGTAATCAAAATATATGCAAACATTATTAAACACATGTAGTCAACAACCAACATTTATAAATCTGGAGAAGTGCCGGTTTTGTTGCAGCCATATATCATGTGCTCCTATATAAAATTAATTTAATGAATTAAGGTCAAATAATATTCTGAATGATCAGGCTAAATGATCTTTTTTCCCAATCTAGCTTCATAGGCAAAATGTGTACCTAGGTACGAACGTTTCTATGATCTGACTGGTTATTCTACATGATCTCTTAAGGATTACCTACTTCTATAGAAGAAGATAACAATATCTTGGATAAGTCGTTTAAAAAAAATGAGGTAACTTCTATTTCCTTGAAAACGGATTAGATGAAAGAGGCATCTAAAGTGGCCAGCCACGTCGTCTGACCTTAGTCCCTTAAATGTATTTAATCCCGTATATACATTAAATCTAAAATTTTGCCACAAAACCAGCATCTCTACAGGTTCACGAATATCGGTTGTTTATTTTATTCAAACATTACCTAGTATTATGTAAAAAGTCTTAAATTAGAGATTAGAGATTAGGAGATTAGAAGTTCAATTGTATAATTTATTTAAATTAAAGAATAATAGTACACCATCGTTGATTAAGACCGCCTATAGTTAGTAAAATATACACCTACAAATTAAAGTTAAAAGAAAATTGGAATAGAAATTATTTTTTAATCATTAGTCGTAACTCATATTTGATTGTATCGGCAAATATTATGCATATGTTCCAAATAAAAGAAAGCCTATTCAACTCCAAGTTTGATCTTAAATAATGTCTCCTTTAGTTTTTCAATAGCTGATGGCTCTTTACAGAATTTCAAAATCTCCTAAATCTTAAAACGTTCATATGAAATTAGCTAGATGACATAATTAGGTATGTCTAATTTCTGAAATAAAAGCACTCTTAAAGAAGACATTTTTTTATCATGTACATTTGTAACATTTTGAACAGTTCACCTACAAAATACCTATTGAAAAAATTAAATATAATTGGAAAGTTTAATTTTAAGCACTATTGAAGGGAAAATGTGTTCAACGTTATTTTTTTATAGTGAAAGCCCATTCTTCTGCTTCTGTCCGAAATAAACTTTTCAATTACATTAAAGTTTGGTATTCCTCGCACCATTGATTTTTCAATAGATACCTAGTATTACTGTTAGTCTATCTATACAATTAATTTAAACTTTCACCATCTTTTAAAAAACACAAGAAGCAATAAAAATTGTAGACCACTCCTGAACAAATTACGTTTAATAAGAAAAAAAGCCGTAAATAGCTACTATTTGGTTACAGTTTGAATAAACACAACCCCATAGTAAATATGCGCTACTCTCACTCCGTCTTTCACTGCTGGGCGAAGGTAACCATGACCACCGTTGTAAACGCTTTACAGATGTAAAAGCGAACTACGAGGAGCCACCTATTCAGAGTTTTTCAATTACAAATTTAATGTGTTTCATAAAGCTAATCGATTTTATTAATCAGATAACACTGTAAACTAAATTTTAAATTATTTTTTTTTTACTATGAAAATTTCCATGGGGTACTGATTTTGAATTGCTTTTTCCAATCTTAGAGTAAACTTAGTTAGCAAATACCTACTCGTACAATCAGTTGTGCAGTTGTGTATTAAATATGCCCTTCTCTGTCGAACAAAGGGAATACAGAACTCAAAATTATTTCGAGGAAATATGCAGCAAAATACATATAATAAAGAATGTAATACGAAAGACGATGAATTCCATAAATTTACTATAGCACATATGCACAGCTTTCTTAAAATATTGTTATTCTATTATTTCGCAATTGTTTTTAGAATGAGAGCATACAATTAAGTTCAGTTCCATGGGTCCCCGCAGTGGGGCATGAGGGAGCAGTTAAAAGTTACAACTCTTTCTTGTTTTTATGCTTTAAAGATATAGTTTACAATAAAGTTTGATATTATTTATTACTGTCACCTTATTTCAGGCTGTCGGTCTTATGAAGACTTCTAGACAGCTGGATTTAGTGGTACGAAAAGCAGCAGGTTCCGAACTTTTTCCAGGAGAATCGAGTGGATACAATAGCTCCGCCAGTTCTGTAACTGGAGACCAAAGCCCTTCTTGGTCGGACTCCAAGCGTCTTTCCATAGTAAAGGAAGAAAATTTAGATCTGGAGGACCGATTGTCGCATTTGGATAGACTGAAACGCAGTAAGTACCTACATGTATCCTAATTTTTTTTATAACTTATCTTTTGTGGATAAAATTACATTTTAATTAACAAAAATATTAAAACAAACCATTGTAAATTTGCATCAGTTATTAATTTTTTTAGCGTCCCGAATATTAAACAATAATGATTTTCTATGACTACAGTGGCATGAGATATAACAATTATATTTCCAGCAAAGTACTTATCATTTTTACACTCTGTTATCAAAAGGATCACTTTTAATTAGAATGTCCTATTTAAAAAATAATATTTATTTTATTATTGCAATTCAAATGGTTGCTAAGGTACTCGTAATATAACTATAACACAGTATACAGGGTATACGGAAAGGTCATGTAAAAAATGAAGGGGTGTAGAGGAGAGCTCAAAATGGTTGTAGGACTTTTTTCCTATCGGGCTTCGTTGTGGAGTTATTCGCCTTCAAAGAAAGAAGTTTAAAAAACAAATTCCAATTATAACTTCTAAGTCGTTACCATGATAACAATGAAATTTGGGCAATTAAAGTAACTCATGGTAATGTTCATTTCCAGGTTTAAACTGATATTCAATATGCCTGGATTGTACAGGAGCAGACAAAATTATCCATTTAAATTTATACATCTTTAACAGTGTTACTAAATTTGACATTTTTCTTTCTTAGTTCGATTCCTTTCTCACTTTGTTACAAAAAAGTGTACCGTACATCAGTCGATATCTTGTATCGTTTTTGAGAAAATCGAATTTTATTAATTCGTTATTATTTATTGTATCAAAAATGTGACACTAGCAATTTTGTAAAAACTAGGTTTCTATAGAATTAAAGAAAAAATAAAAAAGAGAACTGTTAAGTAAGATGTTCAATATGTGCACCTTGAACGTCAATGCATTTTCTGAAATTGCCTAAACACCTCTGATGTAATCAAAACATCATGTGGTGATCATTTCTAATGATGTCGGCGTATGTAATTATGCGATTTAATAATTCTTCCCTACTATTTATAGGAGTTTGATAAACAAGACTTTTAAAATGACAAAAATCGAGACACTTAAGATCGGGACACCGAGATAGCCACGAAAAAGGACTACCTCGACCGATCCATCGATCGGAATATGTGGTATTTAAATAAGCCCTTACTGCCCTGCTAAAATGGGGTGGTGCACCATCGGGCATAAGCCACATTTATTTCAAATATTTAAAGCCACGTTTTCCAATAACGGGTTAAGATGTTCTTGCAATAAATGTATAGGTATTTATCTCCATTTAAAGCGTCATCAATTATATGTGGTCCCACTAAGTAGTTTCCAATTATTCCCATCTATACATTAATGATAAATTTTTGTACGGCTTTAGAACCATTACATTCTACAAGTTCATACATTAGATGAATATCTGTAAATTCTGCAACAAATGGTGTCAAAATGATTTATAACAAATATCTAAATGCTAATTATACATACTTGTTGACAGTCATCTCAATTTCCAAGATTAAATTTATAGTGTCTATATTTTTTCTTTGTCGATTCGCACTTGTTTTCACTTTCGTGGCAATCTTTGATCTGCTTATTATAATTTTTAGTTGTCTGATTTTTCGTAGTTTGGCACCACATAAAAAACAATATACATTTGTTGTTCAAATTTGGTATGTAGGTATTATGATGGGTGTTGAATAGCCTGGTAATATTATCTTTCTGATAAAACCACTTTCTGGAAAAACCCTTTTAAAAAATCGTAGTAGGCCAGGCGTTTGCTACATCAATAGAATGATTAGTAGAATATAACCCCCCTTCAGGGTACTATTTGTAAAAAACTTGGCTTGAGGAAAGTCCACAGCCTTCTCACATTTCCAGAGGTGTTAACCTGAAAAACGGGACACACTGTATATATCTATCATATACCTACTAACTTGTCAATTTATCTTGGTTCCTATTTGAATTGTATCAGTGTTCATTTGCTTTTGTCAGAGGGATTAAAACTGAATTTAATCTCTGGGGGACTAAAAGCCATACTTTATCCCCAGAAATTAGTCAAAAGTGTTATTTTTAATCTAGTTCAGAAATAGTATAAACAGGCACATCCGATATCAGTGGGCAATGGATAGGCATGCTACCGTTGTACAAACGGAGTTAGCAGGCATAACCATAGCCGCGAAAGAAATTGCCCGCAGGCATACTACGGGCAAAACCATTAGAATCTACACGGATAGTAGACAAGCACTACTGACCTTGCGTAATCATAAGATAATGACTAGGACAGTATGGGAATACCATGAAGCACTGGTTGTGGCCTCGGCCGTTAACAGCATATCTGTATGCTGGGTAAAGGGACACGAGCAGTGCTATGGCAATAAATAAGCTGACAAGCTAGCCAGGAGCGCATCGGGCCTCAACATTTTTGGACCCGGCCCCTCCAGTGTGCTTCCGTTGTCGGCACTTGTTGGAATTATTAAGGAAGACACCCACAAAGAATTTATGAAACGGTGGGATGAAACAATCAGCTGTCACTTTGCTAAGGAGCTCTTAGTGTATCCTAGCAAAGACACAGCCAAAAAATACCTGGCTATGTCTAGGTCAAATCTTCGCCTGGTGACAGGTATTCAAATTGGACACTGTTGGCTAAGGAAACACCTTTACAATATGGGGCTGTGAACAGGAAGACGAGACGGTATTGCATTTACTATGTGAATGCACTGCCGTCTCGTCAACAAGAGCGTCCATGTTGGGAGAACGCTGGCTTTCAATGGCCTATATTAGAGAGATCCCCCTGAGCAACGTCACCACCTTTTTCCCTGTAATAGGCTGGTTAGCGGCTCAGGTGGATTGATCTCTCTAATGGGATGAACAAGTGCTGTAGCTTTGCTACCCTCACCTCAATTTCAGACTCCAGACTCCAGTATATACAGGGCTCGCCAATCCGATTCTACAGTGCATAGAACAGTGAGGGTGTTAATAAGAGAGATAAGATTTTGTGAACCAAAATCCGATAGCGATTATAAATAACTTTTTCAAGACATTTGAATCAGTCAGTCACAGCCAAATATCATATCGGGTTGGTTCACCAAATCGAACCTTGGTTGCCCAATATACATATATCTCATTTTATTGATTTGAGAAGTCAGTTAGATGTCATCTACATTGACTTGTCCAAGGTATTTGATAATGGCTTATTAATAAATGCTCTCAATACCTTTTCTCTTTGTGTTGGTACATTTATTTCAATCTTACATTTTTAGTTTGTATAAGGTAATTTCAAGTATCATTTGTCCTGCTAGACATCCGGTGTTCCGCAAGGTTCTGTATATTTTTATAGTGTTTATTAACAGTACTACTAGTAAGATAAAACGTAAGATATCTACTGTATCTACCTAAAATTGTATTATAGAATTACAAATATTACGGATTTCGGTAATCTTCCAAATAACTTTATAGTACTTACTGACTGGTATAATGACAATAAATTATTGTTGAATGTATGGAAATATAAAATTATGTCTTTATTGGAAATTATCTAATAATATTCTATTATAAAATTGGTTCCGATATTTGAAGTTAAATATCTAAGCATTGTTTTCAATTCTGAATTGAGCTTCTCGAGACATTTGATCAGTACATGTAAAAGTTTCAAGTTCATTATCTGAAATTCTCAGGATTCTACTAATCTCTTTACATTGCACATATTACTAAACACGTTCTTTAGGTCGAAGCTCGAATATGGTTCATTGATATGGAAATATATGCCTTATATCACTTTAATATAACGAGTTCAGCGAAGATTTTTTAAGTCATCTAGAGGTTAATAGTTTTTATGAGCGTTTTGACAACTACATTCGGCATTTCCATTGCAAATTTCTTGTCTATGATATAAGGTGTGAAGCAATTTTATCCTGACTGTTAAATTTATTACCAAAATACCACCGCCGATCTGTTTCTTTTACCTCAAACACAAATTTGTTAATATGTATGTATAAAGCACCACTTTCGCACTAATTTTTTGCATTTTCAAATTCTTGTTTAAAATTCACCTTACGCATTCTTTGTCAATTCCTACAGTTTCACCAATAACACGAATAGTTAACCGACGATCAGATCGGGTCAGATTAGCGATTTTTTCAATAAATTTCGCATCAATTCGTTGTTCTATTACAATACTTATCATTTTTCCGGCAGAACAAAAAAATAGATCTTATATGCACTATTCAATTCTTTCTCACCCATTATTATAACATGCTTTGTAATCGAGCCCTGGCCAAGCCGGTATATTTACTTTAACACAAAAGTGCCTTTTTATCCCTTGGGCGAATGTTATCCTGGAGATTAAAATATAATTTAGTATAACACATTACTCTTAAGGAGGGAACGCATTAGGCGGTCCCGTCGCATCGCGAACTGTTCTGGGCTGAGCTGATCGCGGTATTTTACAAAATCAGTCGTATTTTACAATCACATAATCCTGCTCCTCCTTTAAATAGTTGCTTTATTGTTTTAATAGTTAAGAAAATGAGTTCTATGGAGGAGGTATTTTTATTGGCTTTTCTGTCTGAGATTCTTTGGAAAGGATCGGTGTGGAACGCGATGCGAGCGAGACGAGCTCGGGAATGTCTAGTGTGAATGAATGAATACATTATAAAACATGGGAAGGAACTCCACCGCGCGCGATCGAGACTAGCTTGGTCCGCGATGCGACGGGACCGCGACCGCCTAATGCGTTCGATCCTTTATGGAACACTCGCGACTCTTTAAATGTAGGAATGTTTATATTTGAGTATTCCACTTAAAAAATAGTGTTTGCTTCAATATTTTAATATAAATTGCTCTCTGTACAGTAGATATCTGCCAAAATTAAATTATTGTAAATTCCCATTTGTTGCAGTTTCAAGTTGTAAGAAATGGAATACGATGGAGTGGGAGGAGGATGCAGAAGAAAAGCCTTTTTTCAAACCAACTATTATTAATTTATCGGAAAGTGGAACAACTATAAAAAATAATGGAGCAGATAATCTAAATTTCGATCCCAACACGAACAACAGTAAAATTACTGATATTAGAATGGTAAGGAAATAGTTTTGTAAATTATAGTGACGCACGGAAAAGAATATATTAAAAATTTGCACAGTTGTAGTTCTGTTGGCTATAATTTATATAGAAAATACGGCTAACTACAATTTGTGACTCAGTACAAATTAAGTATATTTAAAATATCGTATTTAATTTTACAATTTTATTTATACAGGTTCAGAAAGTCCCCATGGTACATCGGCCGTTACGTGAGAACGATAAAGTAAGTCCGTAGAAATCCGTGCGATAGACAAGGATGGTTACATTGAAGACGTTTCATAATGTGAATAGTCACTCCCACTTCTAACCCGAAACGGGCCATAACTATTCAAACTACAAAACGTCGTCACTATAGCCATCCTTGTCTATCGCACGGATTTCTTTACTTTACTTTGTCGCTCTCATGTAAAGGCAGATGGACCATGTGGATTTTCCAGCCCTGTATATTCACTTCGAAATATGCTATAGGATTAATATTTATAATTGTGTTAAATATATGTATATCTATTAATAAGAACTCAAAATTTTATACATTTTCTATGAAAATTCCTTTGTTACCACATTTATTTTCATTTTTAAAATAATCTTTACTTTTTCTTGGGTAGTGTAAAAATACAGTGTATTACAGAAGAACTATTTCTAATATTCAGAAATGATAGAGGGAACTTAAATAAACGTTTTATTAATAAACTAGTGTTCGGAAATTTCTCAAGATAAACTGGAAATCTTTAAAAACAATATAAATTACAACAGGAAGGAGTAATAACTTACTAAATTGGAGCACTTAAGTTAACGAATATTTTATTAAGAAATAATACTACATCAAAATTTATAAAAATTGTTCGAAGTTACGACCACCATCATTTTCGATAGACAAGATGTGTAATCGACTGCCGAATTCTTTGAAATAGCTGCGTATGTTCGCAAATATCATCAAACGCTAGAGTAATTCGAGCCACTAACTCTTTTTCTGTATTAAGAGGTGTCTCAAAAATCAGTTATTTAATATGACCTCAAATACAAAAATCAACTGGAGCCTTATCTGGTTAACGTGCAGGCCAAGAAATCGGCCCCCTTCTTCCGATCTATCCATTTGGAAATTGTGCATTGAGATAATTTCGGCAATTTAATCCAGAGTATGCTGGAAAACAATATTTCTTGGAATATTAAGTGGGACATTTTCAAGCAATTCTTGTAGAGTATGTACCAAAAAAATTCTATACACATGACCATCTAAGAGTGCAAGCAGTAAATATGGTCCCACTACATAATTGTCAGCATTCCCAGCACAGATATTAACAGAAAACTTCCATTGATGATGTAACCTGTGAACGGCGTGAGGATTTTCTTCGCTCCAAATGTGACTGTTGTGTGTATTAAAACTGCCATCTCTTGTAAAACATGCCTCGTTTATCCATATTACTCTTCTGGGAATCTTCGTTCGTCGTTAATTTTATTCAAGTACGATTCGGCAAATTGAACCTCTGTTGGGATAATCAGCTGGAATTAACAATTGTACTTTTTGAATGTGAAACGGATGCTTGTGGTATTCTTTTAAAACCGCTCTCCATGCAGATGTATGGCTTGTATGCATCGCATGGGTAATGGAACAAGTTTTCGGGTTATTTTCAAATTGTTAAAAAACTTGGACCTCAAAGTCAACATTTCGGACTATGGGCCCTCGAAACTATTTTCTTTCTGATCCAATCTTGAAAATGATTTATCAGAGGGAATTTGACGCTGAGGATGCTGCTCCGCATAAATTCACCTTGCTTCGTTAGCATTACCGTAAGCTGCCCCGTAGGCAAGATGCATGTCTGTAATCAATCTTTGTAAAATGAAGTATTTTCAATCAAACTCTAATTTGTCTAATAAAGACTAATTTGGGACACGTAAAATGAAACGAAACGAAACGAAAATAGTTGTTGTTTTTCAAATGTCGCTATAATTTGACTTGTACTTTCCCGATTTATTTAATTTTATCTTGATACTGAAGAATTTCCAGACACTATTTTATCAATAAAAAATATTTATTTAAGTGCCCTCTATCATTTCTGAAAATTAGGAATAGTTATTCTGTGATATGTCACCCTGTATATGTCACAAATATTTAAACAATGGTTAACATTAATTAAAGTTGCAAATGCAAAACGTATACACAAGTATGGAAAGAAAATAGTAGAGTTAAAAAGGTGGAGTTAAGTAGTTGAGAGTAATAGAGTTGACCTGCCATCATCTGGCTTTAACATGTTGAGAGTGTCACCTGAGAGCACGAACTTATATGGGAAAATTGACAAAATTTGTCAATGTAATAGTAGGTGTTACAAAAACGACATGATTAATTCAAAATGCTGCTTTCTTTATCTCCCCTCCATTATTTCCGGGTATGTGGGACACTAGCGCCCTCTAATTTGGTAAGGTATTTGTTTACATGGAGTTCGTGGTCCTTGGGTAGTCTCCATAGTTTCCTCTTTAACGTTCGCCACGAGGAACGTCAAGGAAAGACGCGGAGATTTTCACTCTTCCTCCATTGTTAGTGTTCTTTGGGTCCATGTTCCACGCTCTAATTCTTTTTAGTTGACCCAAGACGCACTTTGGATATTTACACTTTATTGTAATAAAAAGTTCGTATGATTTAAATGTTTTTTTGTAACGAGTATTCAACTGAACTCTGATGGTTACACTATAGGCTTTTTTTCGCGAGTGAATATTGGTGAATACGTCTGACTTGTAGTTACCGGTTATATCTCTTTTCATCTTTTTTCTAACCTTGTCTAACCTGAACAGATTGCGAAAATGTATATATTCACTATTCAGTGGTGCAGCCTGTCATATTGTAATATGTATTTTGACGACTTTGACATATGTTCTAACTTCTAACTAGTAACCATAATTTGTTATCCTTTATTGCTTGTGTTGTGAGAATTGGTGTTATCTCACTAAATAATAATGTATTTGCTTCGAATAAAACTGAAGGAATATATCAATGCTTTCTTTGGAATATTTTTAAGTGGCAAATTTAAAAAGCGTGAAAAGTATGTTAAATTTGTTATAAAAAAAATTAAACTAGAAAGAGGTTAGGTCGGTTTTTTATGTAATTCATACGAAAAAGACCTGAATTACAAATGATTCCACCAATATTATCTCTGGCCTAGGTCACAAAAAAAAAGAGAATAATCCTGAAGCAAAGTGGATCGCAAATATATCCCATATAAAAAATTAATCTTACCACTAAGTAAAATATTTGCTGTTTCAACATCTAGGTTTACTAAAACATCTGTGCCTCTAAAGTTTAAATTTAAACTGACCACTTCCACAGCCGTATCAGAATCCATCATTTTGCTGAACGATTTTTATCATACAAACAAAATGTCAAAAAGAAAAAGGTTAAGTTACCGGCTGACAAATTGAAGTTGTATACGTCTTTGCGATGGAAGTAGGAAAAAGGATGTTCGCTCAACACGAATATCACGACGGCAACGGTCTTCAAGGTACCTAGTTCCCAGGATGTCTGGTTTCTGTGACAACTATTTTATTCTTAATTATTTTTTATTATAAAAATACATTTATTCATTACAAAAAATACATGTTTTCAAAGAAATATTATACTTAGATATCTTTTAATTTAAATTTTTCTTATTTCACGTGTGCGCTATAACTTGGAGCGTATCCGTATATACTAATATGTGTAAGAGTATATATTAGTATACAGTGTAAGAAAGTACCGATGGTCTATCAAAAGTTACGTGAGAGCGATAAAGTAAGTCATAAAAATCCATGCGATAGACAAGGATGGCTATAATGAAGGCCTCTCATAGTCACCGCCCGTTTCGCCCTTCCACAAATAAGATCCACTTCTTATTTCGCTCTCACGTAACTTCGGTACTTTCCTACCCTATATATGCTACCAACTGTATTAAAAACGCCAAATTAAAAAAAATGTTTCGGATAATTTATTTGGATATTCAATAAAGCTTATAAAGATGACATCGGTACCTCGGAGACCATTTACCATTGTGATATTCGTGTTGAACGACCCCAAAAATCCCGAGGTAACGAGTTTCGGCTAAGTTTATAACGAATTTCCACAAAATTCCAGGAGACGATGTGGAAACCGGCCACCCTGGGCACTAGGTACCTCAGAGACCGTTGCCGTCGTGATATTCGTGTTCAGCGACCTCGAAAACCCCGAGGTAACGAGTTTCGGCTAAGTTTATAACGAATTTCCTCAAAATCCCAGGAGACGACGTGGAAACCAGCCACCCTGGGCACTAGATACCTCGGAGACCGTTGCAATCATGATATTCGTGTACAGCGACCCCAAAAACCCCCGAGTAGCAAAATTGAACTCATTTCCGTCAATATTTTCCGAGTTATCTTCGAGATACAATTTTAAAAATGCATATTTCTTATGCACCGATGCAATTTTCATTTCTCATTGATTACATAGGATCTCAAACTTTCTGGACGCTCTAACGAATCGAATGCAAAAAACCGCATCACGATCCATCTTACTACACAGATTTCGGAGGTTCAGTGTTTCATTTCCTCAACTATATATTATGGTTTCGATGCCTTTCCAATTCAACGCAGTATTCCTTTAAAAAAATTAAATTTCTCATTCGCTTGTATTAAAGAACTTAGGTACTGTATTATTCACCGTAGGTATATACTCCCCATAGGTACTCCCTAACATTATTCTGTAATAGGTGATAGGCAACCAGAATCACAAAGGCGTATCGCATGTTGTGTTTGTTGCGAAAAATGTAACAGATGAAGTGAAAAATAAACTAATTTCCATTGAAAATTATATTTTTATATTTTCATTTAGTTGGACTAACTTAAATATTACAGAAGGCTTAGTTTTCGACTGATAACTTCTTTTAACTAGGAAGTAAGGTTTTAAAACCTAGGTATACATATTTCTAATAAAACTCGGCGAAGTTTGATCGTGATAGGTGATCGACTGAAATGACTGACTAAACGCTACATATAGTGTTTTTTTTGTTAATAACTAAATAATATATAATATGGAAATCTATATCGTTACCGATTTATTTCTTTACCAAGTAATAAATTTATCACTAATGAAGTGATGCCACCCGAGAATGAAAGTCTTGTTAATTTAGTGGTAATTAATGATTATACCCATTTATTATGCGCGTTAACTACCTTTCCTTCAAATCGAACACCATCGATTTTTTTAATTCCTCATCGTATTTAAGGCCTACTTTCACAAACAATATACAATCGTATTATTTCTGTTATTTGATGTTTTTTAAATGGCCTTTGCAGCAATCACGAAACTAAATATGATAACAAGGTGCGGTTTTCATCATTCGTTCAAGCATGAAAAACGTACCTTCTATATACTTACTTAATATACCTAGTTCACAAAAAAATATAATTATAGATCTCTCTGAAGTTTTTAATTTTGGGGTTCAGTTTTTTGTTACTGTTTCCTTAAAAAATTAATGCCACTTAATAGTGGTATGTTCAAAATAAAAAATAATGAAGTGTGAACAATATTGGGATGAATGTTTTAACATGATTTAATGTTACCTAATTTGGCACAAAAACTCGTAGAAATAATAAAGCATAATTAATACAAAAAGTAAAACACAAAATTGTTAGAAAAACACTAAAACTATTTACAATAATTGTATTAATTGTTCAAAATGTCAACAATGTTGAATTGTTTTGCTGAATTAACAATAAAAACATTTCTTAAGAAGCCGGTCACCATTATTAAAAAAAAAATACGGCACCCTATATAATTAAACATAATTTTAGAATGTAAAAAAATTATTTTGTGCAACTTTATTTGAAACATTCTTTTATATTATTGATACTATGGAACTTGACTGATTTTTTATAGATTTTATTTCAATTTACAGGTTTCTCAACAGCATGAAACCAAGACAGTAATTGTGGAAGTTCACAGAAGTGACGTTGATGAAAATAACGATAAAAATAATATTCTGGCAAAAAGTTCGTCAGCTAGCAGTTTCAGTAGTTTGACTAGCAAGAGTAGTAACACCAGTGTCACAAGCAGTAGTTTATCCTCTGCCATATGTATGGAGATTCAGAGACGAATGCAGGTAACAAAAACCGAAACCAATAACATCTAATATGCTCGCTTTGTTGTTTTTTTTTTTTAGAAAAAGGTAACTAAAGAAGAAAAACCGTCAATAGATGAACAATTACAAATGAAAAAGATTCTTAAAGGAATTAATACTGACCAGCAATACCAACATAATAAGCTTATGGATGAATTTAAAAAAGCTCATCAGAAAATGTTTAAGGGCCCTGATGAGACTCAAACCGAATCATCTCCAAATATGAAACAAAACAATGTTCTTGGTAAAGATACTCTGGTGAGTGATACAACTTATAATTGCAGTATTTGTAGTACATTTTTTTTTTTTTTTCACTGTAATAAATTATCTTTTATACCATTTCGCAAAGCAATCGCCCAAATTGACGATTTTCCTCAATTTCACAATGAAGGAATGAAACATTAAGTTCTAATTTAATTCCAATGAAAATAATTCCTACCTACATTAAAAGTATAGTGAGTTTATTTAAATACAAGCATTCAAAAAGATTTTTTCAGTTATGTTAGTATTTACAAAAGACTGCTATCAAAATCACTTTTGGTACTTGTCGATTTTAAGGCCGCTATGGTCGGAACCATAGTAGTCCTGAGACGTTTCGTATGACTGGCCACATGTTTCCAAACGTTTTGTTGTTTTTCACTTTCGCATCTTCAGTGGTAACTCTGAGGAGCAGCCTCATAACCAAAAACAAGAGCCGAAATCAACATAAGGACGGACCTAGAGGTTCTGATAGCGGGTCCGTCCTCACAGAGCCTATCCCGAGAGCAACATATGAAAAGGTTGACGGTGACCACATAGGCCACGGAATAACAACCCGAAAAAAACATGGTATCTTAGATAACACCACGGACCGTTAAAGCCTTAAACTAACAATATTTATATTTTTTTGAATTTTTAATTTGATACAAGACAGGAACTTTAATAAATTTACAAAAAGGTAAATAAAAAAAGATTCTTAATTTACTTAATATTCCGTGACTTTACGCCAGTATAAATTATAATCTCGTTAAAATTGTGTTTATTAATTTTTTTCTCTAATTTATGAAATACTTGGATACAAAACGAAAATTAAAATTGTTGATAAAAGTTTTCAAGAAATTAACACATTTTTGTTTGAAACGTTTCTGTGATAGGTATAGAATAATTAATTAAATAATTGAGGAGAGGAGAGGAGTAAGGAATCCTATCCACAAAAACATTAGTAGGTTTTTAAAAAATATATAATTTTTTATAGGTAACTACGTACAAAACGTCACAAAATCTAATTTAACATTCAAATAATGCAAAAATGGCCTTAAAAAATGTTTTCGATTTTTATGTAGCTCTTGAAATAAATAAACCCAAAAAACGATTAAATCGAAATCCGAAATTTACTTTGTTCTTCAAAATATTTAATTTTTTTACGAGTAATTAATTGTCCCAATTTATTCTTCTCTATCTGTCACACTTTCCGAGATAACAATATTATCCAATTTGAAAGTATTGTTCTGTATATTCATTTAAAAATGCTATGATTTTTGTTTATTTTATACATGTTTATACATATTACGTATGTATAAACATGTATGTATACGTGTTATTTATGAACCAAATGTTACAAATAATATTTTGTTTGTTTTGTGAATCATACCAGCACACTTTCTGTGACAGCTGCTTGACGAAATGTAACTAAGCCACTAAAAAGTAACAGTAAAAAAATAATATGGCCTCAGTTAATTTATTGCAGTTTTATTCGTATAAAATGTTCAATAAAAATTAAATTTATGAAATTGTTCCTGTATTTCGAATTATCACATAAACTTATTTATTTTAATATGTACACCATTTACATATTTACTTTATTGATCTATAGGTATAAATTATTCTAGTTTTAATTGGACTAAATTTTGCAACAGATTAGAATTTTACTGCCAGTGATACAGTTTATCTCAAAAATTACAATACTTATAGGAAAAAATTTTGACCTTGTTGAAATAAATTTAAAAATAATAGTGTTTAAAATGTAATAATTTTGAACCGAAATAAATAAGAACTTATAGTTAAACTGGAAGTGGTAGAAACATGATTTGCTTATGAAATTAATCTATTTGTTATTTGTTGCTTATATGTATTACTCATGACTAGAGATCGGAAACGTTTGGGCGTCTGCAATGTGGTACAGGGTTGGCTGTAGGCCGGGTTCTCTTTTATTTCATACAAAAAGTGACATAACCGTTGCCTCCTGATACTGCACTCCACATTATAGGAATACCTACATATATATGTAAGTATTTGCATGATGTATGAAACAAAAAGGGGCAGTGTCTATTTTTCTACACTAAACGTTTCACATGGAATTTACCATAAAATATATAGGTATAGTACGTAATAATAAAGTGCCAGCAAAAGTTAACAAAATAATAATTTCTTATTCGTAAGAAAAGCGATTGTAGAAAATAATTAACAGTTATCCTAGGTGTTATCCGTGGTTAATCATCTTCGGCGACCCGTAAATACCCATTTCAGAAACGAAACGTATCGTTCAACATTTAGCGAGGACACAGGCGCATATCTAAAATAGTCGAAGTTTTTAATAGATATATATATTACTAATGGTGACAAAGCATCTAGTACTTCACATTTTAGTAATCCCATGTATTCAGGAGTTGATAGATCATTAAAAAATAAAACATTTTTTGGCGGTTTAACATAAAATTTTAGTCATATCTTTTCGAAAACACAACGTGTTGAGGTCATAATATGTCAGATAGTTTTTTACATTCTGCTAGATGTTGCTAGATGTCGCTTAGATTGTTTGTGATGTATGTCACATGTGTAAACAATGTAAAATTTAATTTTGTAAAAAAAGGCCATCGCGTTTAAATTGCTCAAATATGCACCATACCGAGAAAAATGCAATTGACAGTCCCAAAGTCAATCAGCTTCACTCAGAAATGTAAGAGATGTCCGATTTACATCAAGTTACCTTAGTACAATTTTGCTACCTTAAAAGTAAGTACTTATACTAACATAACTTTTTAAAGTTGCAAAATTGTACTAAGGTAACTTGATCTAAATCGGACATCCCGTACATTGCTAAGTGAAGCTGATTGACTTATTGCGTACTGTAAAGACCGATAACTTTAAAGCAAAATTGTTGTAAAGTAACCTGATGTAAATAGTAGCAGCCTGTATATTAAGAAAAGTTTGTTATCTTCAAAACAGTCAAATCTATCAGACCTTGAATTTACGGTATATTTTTCCAAAAGACCCCACATTAATTATTAAAATACGTAGGTAATTCCCAAAAAAAAAAATAAAGTTTCTACTGAAATTGTTAATAACGCACAGCTAAGGAGTTAGGGACATTCTAACCTAATTATTAACTTTATTTGTAACTAAATTAAATATTTTCTATATAATACACTACCCTTCATCTCCCGATCTTTCCCCACTAGTCGACCACGTACGCGCGCTCGGCCATTTTTGAACATGTTTGGAGGAATTATTCACCTATTTCCTATAATTTTATCTGAAAATTAGAATATACGTTTTGTAATATTATACTTCTACGTTTAAAATCCGACTGGAAAATTAAAATTGGACCACCTCCAACGCACCGAGAAATTTTTCAAAATAGTGTAACAAAATATTCAAATGGCAATTGTGCCAAAACTAATGGACCGACAGCGCCTGCTTTGTTTAAGGTACATATAATTCACTACTTTTGTGCACAGGGTCAGCTCTACAATTTAAAAAATGGCGGAGTAATGAATTAAAAAAAAACGATAAATGTTCCGATTTCTTTGGGTTTTCTTCATTTCTAATTATCCGATCGGACCGACCTCTCGTTTTATTCGTAATTTGATTTTCTACAAATTATTTCTTTATAGTATTCAGATTGCTTTCTTAGTTTAGGTTTTATAAGCAAAACGCTAACAAAAGATGCGCTATTTTAAATAAAAATGTTTATAAAAAATTAAGTAGTTAATGGTAAATTAGAGTAGGAAACATATATAATCATATATCTACAGGTTGTCTTTTATATGATGGCACAGTCCGTTTGCTACTAGTATTTTTGTCACAAAATCACTGATTCTCTGACTCTATTGATTGGCCTAAAAGGGTTTGTCGATGTTGGTTCAAATTAGGTCAAAGTTGCGGAATTTTTCTATTCTTTTGCGGAAAATTCGGATGTGTAAACTTAAAAGCTATGGCGCCTGCCTCGACAGGGAAATTACACTTACAATTATTCAATTAAACTTTTGTTCCTCTTAGGGGCGACATATTGGATTCCTGCATTTTTTAATTCGGCGCATATTAAAAATAGAATATCTAAGCAATGTTCAACTACCAAAATAGAAATGTAATCACATTATTTGTTTTCGATTTAAGGAGGTATTATTACTTTATCATTTTAAGTAGCCTCTCAACTAGTGTTTAATCCACGACAAATACAATAAATATTCTATTATACTAATTGTTTAAGTATTGTAGAACTGAATACATCTTAGATATCAAACAGACACTTATAAGTACCTATTTGTATAGATTTCATAGACAATTTAAATACAAATTACTAAAAAATAGGTATTCAGAAAAATAATTATTCGCAAAATTGATCGAAAATGAATATATTATATGGGGAGGAGGCAAATATTGTGTATAAAGTTCGTATCTTTTTTTGTTCATTAACTACTAGTAAATATATTGTTTCAGTTTAACATCATCAGATCAGTCGTTCCTCCAAACGCCTCTATTTTTTTGCAGAAATGAAGATTTGAAAATATAAATATCTCATTACGTGAATCATATCTCTTAGTTTTTAAAGTTAAGTATTAGGTACATGTGGAAGATGTAAATTCTCTTATTTTTTCAAGTACATTTTAACTTTTTTAATATGTTTTTGTGGTCAAATTAAAATTATAAAAATTATATAAGGTGTCCCTGAAAGGTATATACAAAATTCTACCACAAATTCTCGAGGAGAAAATAGATTGATTTGTATTATATTACCTTACTACAAAAGTTTATAATTAAGTAGATACAGGGCGTAAAGTTAATAATTTATTTTCAATTTTCTTCACTATTGATATGATAGAAACGTGACAACGTTATAAAACGGGGTATACAGGGTTTTTTCATTCATTCATTCATTCATTCATTTTTTATTTTATGCTATAAAATAAAGTTAAAGATAACAACTTACCTGACAATACGTTTCACTACATTTGACTTTAAATTTCCGCAACCACTTAAATACAAATTGTATAGTTACA